GGGGGAGCGCTCAGGGACCGAGCAGACCGGGGTCCCCCGGGGGAGGGAAGTCACCGGGTTTGACTCTTATATTTTTTTTCCCTTCAAAAATGCACGATGAAGTTCCAGGGCTGTTTTCCTGCCTCGGCTGATGGAACCTAACGCGGGGAAGCGATAACCGGGACTTGCACAGCTCTGAGTTCCCTGATGTGCCGTGTACCGATGGCCACCGAAAGTCATGGCGTGAGGGAACGCACCTCTCTGCTGAGGGAGACAGAGGTTTTAAGTCTAAAACGCTGCTTTCAAAAGTGTCAGTTTTTATACCTGATAGTCCCGTGGGTGACTGAGGAGCATTTCACAGGGGAGCAGCAGGTGTGAGCTCCGGCGAGAAGAGCAGGGATAGGGCGGTGAGCAAGAGCCGTACCCTGAGGAAGGTGACTGCGGTCTCTCCTGTCTCAGGGAACCCCCCAGACACCCACCGAGGCCCCGATCCACGCTCAGGGACGAGCTGCTTTGTCTCTCTGTCAGGAGAGGACACTAACAGCACCGTGCCCACCACTTTCGGGTGGGCTCCGAGGACGGCTGGTGATGTTTATGACACCATTTGCCTCACATGCCACACCAGCAATAAAAAGCCTGTGCAGCACTGAGCTACTATTTTTCTTAGTGAGCCATTTGGAGGCCTCTCCTTTCACTCCCAGTGATCTGTTTAAGATGTTGTATCGCTCACAGCGTATTCAGAGTTGCAGGGGCAAAAGCACAAGAGTTAAACAGTTAAGGTTCCACTTAAACTTGAGAAGAAACTTATTTACGGTGAGGGTGACAGAGCCCTGGGACAGGCTGCCCAGGGAGGGGGTGGAGTCTCCTTCTCTGGAGACATTCAAGACCCGCCTGGACGCCTTCCTGTGTGATCTCATTTAGGTTCCTGCTCTGGCAGGGGGATTGGACTGGATGATCTTTCAAGGTCTCTTCCAATCCCTGACAATCTGTGATTCTGTGAATTCCTGTCCTTGTTCCTAATCACACGAGAACTGCATCCTCTGCTTGGAAATACTCTTGTGCACGTTGCTGCTGTGGCTGAATGGGATCGTGCTCCTCGGAGGCAGCGTGGGGTGTTTTTATATAATGGAGAAAAGTGCTTTTTCCCCCCTTGACCTCCCAGTCAGTTCCTCAGCTCGGTTCTGTAGAGCTATTTGTTTCTACTCCCCTTAGTGTTTTTTCAATAGACAGGCCTCCCACGGAGACAAGATCTGCAACCTCTCAAGCCTTGCACAGATGGAAAGAGCAGCTTTGAACTGCCCTGTGCTTTTTTGAGGGGGGAGGGTGTGCTGTTGTTGTTGTTTTTTTAAACAGATAAGCCCTGGATGATAAGGAAACAGCATTAACAAACAGGAGTTGACTCTCATGAAATCAATTGTTACTGCAATCTCAAATCCCGCACCCTGGGTTTGTAATCTCACCAAGAACTCTAGTATAAACTCCCATCACCAAAACTTCTTGTCACGTGCAACAAATGTGAAAAGAGATCAGAGGCCTGAATTAAAAGATTTTCAATATCCCTCCCCGTAGTTCCTTCTGAAATTATTTGTTAGACTACCTCATGACCACAAATACAGGGAAGGAAACTTCAAAAAATGTAATTCAAGCTAAGAGGATGCTAAATAAGCGATAAAGCAGCTGTATTGCCACCTTTTAAAAATCCTTCACAGCCACAACCTAATAGAAAGGATAGAACAATTTCCTGTAATTTAGAAAAAAATCTCTGGGGCTTTTCTGAACTTCACCAAGATTAAAAAGAGTTAAGAGGCAAGACTGTGAGGGAACAAACTTGGTTCACATTCACCCACACCTCCTCTGCTTGCTAGAAACACAGCATGTGGTTTCTCGAGATTTCTCTCTCAGCTTTGCAGCTGATTTTTGTGATAAATCCTCCTACGATTCATTTACAAAACAGAAGTGCAAAGTTCAGGTAGAATTATATTAATTATTAGAGAAAAAAACCCCATCATACGTGTACAATTACGCCCTGTTTGGAATAGTTCTTTTTACTTACCAGATGTGGGAACAGGAACAACTATAATCACTCACAGGCAGTGGATTATTGCTGAGACTGAACTTGTAGGTTGGGGTTAAAAGTCAACTTTGAGTTTTGCTTTGGAGGATGCTACGGCCGATCCCAAATCCCTGACCATCTGTATGAGTTTCTGTCGAAGTACCACAGCACTGGTTGGCCTAGCCCTTCACTGTATAATGCATAAAACCAGATGCATCACTTTTTATTATTATTTTTTTTTTAAACAGGCACAGATACCTGGTTTCCAGCTCCCGTCGAGGTCTGCCTCTGCCCACAGAGCTGCTTCCCCTCCCCCCCACACCGGTTTCCAACACCGGGATCTCTGCTGCAGGTACTCCACGGCTAACTGCTCACTGTGCTTTGCGAAAAACAGCCTCTCAGGCTCTTAAAAACTTAGCATCTCAGGATTCACAATTTTGCCTTAAAGTCTGCAGAGAAAATGATGACATAGCAACTAATTGTCAGACAAGCAATGCTCAGCTATTAAGATTTTTTTTTAGTACCACACTCTTCTCCCTAGTATTTCACTGGCAAGGAATCACATAGAAAGAAAATCTGTAAAACACTTCACTTTAAATAAATATTGGGACTGTGGGAGGTTAAACAAAGGTCAAGTGCTTGGTATATAAAGCATGTAACAATGAACATAAATTCAATCTTTATTCTGAGAATATTTACACAATAAATAATAATACACTCTCCTATACTTAACATCTGCTTCAAAAATACAACTAACAAAAATTTAAGTTTTTAGCACAGTATGGTCCACCTTTTCAAATTTCATATGGGAGTTTTATTTTAAGCTAATTTTAGATATTTATAGAGCCATCAGAAAAACCAGCCTAGGTTTTTCCTCTTCTAGTGAATGCTGTCTTCTAAAAATTTGGATTACTGACACATTACTTTATATTCTTTGCTGTACAAAGAGATTTTTTTTTTCCCTCTGAGAAACTTTAGTTGTTATGACTTTATCAGCTTTTTAAGATCAGCCACAACAAATTACCTTTCATATCGGTAACAATGCAAGCCATTATTCAAGATGGAAGATTTTAAAAACACAAATTACACGCAGAAGTAGTATAAGAATAGAACAAAATGCTCGTGTGTAAACACAAGCTTTGTCCAGGTCTGAAATGGAGCTTTCTAACCCATTATGAACTGACACTGCACCTCGTGAGAACAGGACTGCTATCCCCTTTCACTAGCTGGTAACACACCTCTGTAGGTATTTAGCAGGTGGAAAACTGGACATTATGGTGGAAAAGTCGCCCTTCAGAACATTTTAATTGCTGGCCTGCATACTGCTACTAAATTTCAGCCCCACACGGGTTACAGCACGGCCTTAAGTAACGAGGGGTTTCCTGTCCAAGACAGGGACCCTCAGAGTTATGGCACTGGTTTTTATCAGAGATTTTTACTTTCCAAAAGGCATGTTAACAGGTAACTGGCATTCCTCCAAGCACTCTCCCTTATCACCTCTAAATAGACCTTCTCAACCAGCTCACAAATTGTTTCAAGGTCTGTACAAGTTTATTGTTGCTTAGACGATCTCTCATTCTTTCCGAGTAGCTTTCTTCCTTCCATATTCCCTTGTTTTTCTTCAAGGCCTGTAACTCTGCCCGAAGCAGTCTTTTGTGCAGTTTCCAGTACAGGCGGGAATCGTGATGCAGTCCTTCGATACGGGCTGCTCTGCCGAGCCCTTGTCTCAGGATCTCTTCATTTAAGCACACGCTCAGAAATCGACCCTAGAAAAAGGCACAAGAAATATGATATTCACTTCACCTTTAAAACAGGTTTGTTGGGGTTTTTTTTGCTATTTTGGGGGGGGTTTTTTGTAAAGTGTCTCTGAGATACAAGCTTTAGCTCTGGCCAAATCTACCCTCTGGCAGAAGGAGTTAAAAATTAAGAAGAATCCAGCTGACTGTTAAAACATAATACTAGTGCAAGATGTATGTGAGAGAACATTTGACAGCCTCAACACCAGGGTAATCAGAACTACGTGATACAGCCTAGCACCGTCTGACAGAGAAACACACTCGTGTCATGATCTGGTCTGTAAAAATATAGGCCTTGAAATCAGATTTACAAATACAACGTTTAACATTCATATCAAGATAGATAAATTATAAATAACAACATTCCTTAAATGTACTGAGAGAATTGAACTGCGTGACTGCAGTCAAACTCAAAACTGCAGATAAAAGTCCATTTTTCTCACTGTATTTACCTTATTTACTAAAACAAGGCACTCGAGTGCCAAGTCCTCCCTTCCAAGCAGTTGGAACCATATCATTTGTTTGGGTTTCAGCTCTTGCTGTAACCAGGCCATGCCACTCGGAGCCAACTCCACTCCAGCAAGTCTCACCAGCAGAAGACCTTTTTTTTGCCCTGATTCCAGAAAGAGAGAACTGTGTTACTGAACGCAGCAAAGGAAATGTCCTGCTCTGCACTGACCCTCAGCTGCTGCTAATGAATTTATTCCCATGGACTTTAAAAAAAAAGAAAAAGAATCCATTTTAGTTCCCCAAAGCACTACCTATTCACAAAGAATTTGGTCCCATCTCTCCTTCAGTAGAAAAAAATAATGAATTCCAGATTGCAGCAGTGGTTTAGGCTAGTTTGGTTTATTCTGCATGCAAATAGGAAGAACTGCTTTCATTATCAGTCACCAGCATTTTATCTGAAGGGGTGGAAACAACAGGCAAGAAGCATCAGTGCCTGCAGGTATTTGCAAAGCAAGCCTGGGGCAGGCAGACTCATGGACACCTTCTGCCACGTCACAGAAAAACTGTCCACAGGCCGGGGTCTGTACACGGAACTGCCAGATCTTCACCCATACACAAAAGTGTAATCCCAGTAGAGTCTTTTTGCCAGGAGTGAGATGGAAGCGAACGAACAGCGTGTGTGCTAGCTCTTGCTGGCAGAAAAATATGTTATGACATTATCAAAATATGATAATGATGCTAATTAATACCAATAATGCACTGGCAAGCTCTTTCTACAGGTCTCCTCGCAGCCTTTGGTTCCCCAGTATCCCACCTGTCACGTACGGAAAGACCAAGAGGCAGAGCCAGAGCAGGACCCCAGCCCTTCCTCTCCAGCCTGCCCCTGCCTCTTCCCCGTGGACACATTAAGAACAATGTCCCAGTCCCACCCTTGTTCTCCACGTGCTTTTACTTACATTTTCTCTGGATCGAGGTGATGAAAGGAACACTAATGGGAATGTGTTCCACTGCCAGGCCTTGCTCGGTTACGCGCTGGAATTTTCCCCGCAGTTTCACATTCTTTTGGACAAACTCCACGGGTATATCCAAAGCACTCGTAAACTTTGTTGTCTATTGATGGAAAGAAGAGCAAGATAAAAGTTTAAATAAAAAACTGTAGAGCAGTAACAATGACATTAAATCCAACATCTTAAAAATAGTTGGCAAATTAGAGAGCTATTATTAGACAGCACGGGCGTATATAGATATATATATTTAAAAGTCATCAGCTGCAGAAGTCGTTATGTGCCAGCCCTTCCAGACACGTCGGGATGTTCCCTGTTTTATAGGACTTGTAATATCAGAGGTGGGCATGAAAGCGAGGTTCAGAGAAAGAACAGAAACTGCCATTTTTTCAGCAGTGCATATTGAAGTTCACCTGATCTGCCATGAACAGAGTGGTTTAGAAGTGGCCCAAACGGTGCTAGAACGGGGGTGAAAGAAAACCAAGATGTGTTTGAAGATGGAAGCAAAGAACAGAGATGCTGAAAACAAAGGCAGAGCAGGGAGGATAGAAACACAGACTTTGATAAGGAAGGAAAGAGGAGAGGGACAAAAGCAGGTGTACTCCTTTGCAAAGAGCACAAGATCAAACGTGACACCACAGCCATTGATTAACAGGGGGATTCAAAGGGACAGTTCCATGGTCACACAGGAAAGCTGAGCTCAGCAGCAGGGAAGACTTGGGCAGCAGCAGGGAGGGAATGCAGCAGCCACTGGTTTAGGGTGGAGGGAGAGGGACGGGCACTGGGGGTGGGTGGGTTTCAGACGGTAACATCTCAAAGTCTCACTCTACAACGTGTCGTGTAGAGCACTGATCTACTCCAACACCGACCTGCTGATGTCCAACTGCTGTGACACACCAGCCCTCGGGGGAAATAAAACCAAACCACCACGTCTAAACTCAAAGATTCTTCTCCTGTGCATTGTTTATTCCATAAACCTTCCCATTCATGGTCTGTCAGGTCCATCTCTAGGAATACAGAAATTCAGGACCTTGTGGGCAGAAAGCCTGATGGTTTTTATGAACAGTTGTTCAAATCTGATCTCGTGGAGTTGGACTCCATGGTCCTTGTGGGTCCCTTCCAACTCACATTTTATAATTCTATGATTTACACTGGTTAACACATTCCCAAACCCTTGGTTAAAAAAAAAAATCACAAAAACCAAACAAAACATTAAAAAAATAAAATAATTCTGGTAACATTTGTAGTTGAGGCTTTCTGGTAAGACTGTAAAGTAAAAACTTTCTAGGCACGTTCTCTCACAGCCACCTGCAGCTGGAACCGTGCAGAGGGAAGGTCGAGGAACGACGATGTTTTAAGCAGCTGGAGGGACCCGGGGGAACAGGAGCGAGGACACGGCCTCGGCTGGATGGAGCCAGCGGAGAAGCGCCGGCTCACACCGCGACCGGATCCCTTGGGGAAGAGAAGGAAGATCTGGGGTCACTATCAAAACCTTCGAAAAGCCGTTCTGTTCGGGGAAAAGC